GTCTCATGGCCCTCTATCAGAATCCAGAGTTTTGAGAAGATTGGAGAAACTTAATTTTTCGCCCAAAAAAAAAAACGTAAGGGGTACCACTGTCGTTTTTTTTTCGGGTCGAAATTTTGAGTTTCGATATCTCAGCTCTGGAAGGGTCTAGAGCCTCCATTTTTGCACTCAGGTTTAAGTCTCATGGCCCTCTATCAGAATCCAGAGTTTTGAGAAGATTGGAGAAACTTCATTTTTCGCCCCAAAAAAAAAAAATGTAAGGGGTACCACTGTCGTTTTTTTTCGGGTCGAAATTTTGAGTTTCGATATCTCAGCTCTGGAAGGGTCTAGAGCCTCCATTTTTGCACTCAGGTTTAAGTCTCATGGCCCTCTATCAGAATCCAGAGTTTTGAGAAGATTGGAGAAACTTCATTTTTCGCCCAAAAAAAAACGTAAGGGGTACCACTGTCGTTTTTTTTTCGGGTCGAAATTTTGAGATTCGATATCTCAGCTCTGGAAGGATCTATAGCCTCCATTTTTGCACTCAGGTCAAAGTCTCACTGCCCTCTGTCAGAATCCAGAGTTTTGAGAAGATTGGAGAAACTTAATTTTTCGCTCAAAAACGAAAAAAAACGAAAGGGGTAACACTGTCGTTTTTTTTTTCGGGTCGAAATTTTGAATTTCGATATCTCAGCTCTGGACGGGTCTAGAGCCTCCATTTTTGCACTCAGGTCTAAGTCTCATGGCCCTCTATCAGAATCCAGAGTTTTGAGAAGATTGGAGAAACTTATTTTTCGCCCGAAAAAAAAAAAAAAACGAAAGGGGTAACACTGTCGTTTTTTTTTCGGGTCGAAATTTTGAATTTTGATATCTCAGCTCTGGAAGGGTCTAGAGCCTCCATTTTTGCACTCAGGTCAAAGTCTCACAGCCCTCTGTCAGAATCCAGAGTTTTGAGAAGATTGGAGAAACTTCATTTTTCGCCCAAAAAAAAAAAAAAACGAAAGGGGTAACACTGTCGTTTTTTTTTCGGGTCGAAATTTTTAATTTTGATATCTCAGCTCTGGAAGGGTCTAGAGCCTCCATTTTTGCACTCAGGTCAAAGTCTCATGTCCCTCAATCAGAATCCAGAGTTTTGAGAAGATTGGAGAAACTTAATTTTTCACCCGAAAAAAAAGAAAAGAAAGGGGTAACACTGTCGTTTTTTTTCTGGTCGAAATTTTGAATTTCGATATCTCAGCTCTGGAAGGGTCTAGAGCCTCCATTTTTGCACTCAGTTTTAAGTCTCATGGCCCTCTATCAGAATCCGGAGTTTTGAGAAGATTGGAGACACTTCATTTTTCGCCCAAAAAAAAAAACATAAGAGGTACCACTGTCGTTTTTTTTTCGGGTCGAAATTTTGAATTTCGATATCTCAGCTCTGGAAGGGTCTAGAGACTCCATTTTTGCACTCAAGTCAAAGTCTCATGCCCCTCAATCAGAATCCAGAGTTTTGAGAAGATTGGAGAAACTTAATTTTTCACCCGAAAAAAAAAAAGAAAGGGGTAACACTGTCGTTTTTTTTTTTCGGGTCGAAATTTTGAATTTCGATATCTCAGCTCTGGAAGGGTCTAGAGCCTCCATTTTTGCACTCAGGTCAACGTCTCACAGCCCTCTATCAGAATCCTGAGTTTTGAGAGGATTGGAGAAACTTAATTTTTCGCCGAAAAAAAAAAAACGAAAGGGGTACCACTGTCGTTTTTTTTTCGGGTCGAAATTTTGAATTTCGATATCTCAGCTCTGGAATGGTCTAGAGCCTCCATTTTTGCACTCAGGTCAACGTCTCTTGCCCCTCTATCAGAATCCAGAGTTTTGAGAAGATTGGAGAAACTTCATTTTTCGCCTGAAAACGAAAAAAAACGAAAGGGGTAACACTGTCGTTTTTTTTCGGGTCGAAATTTTTAATTTTGATATCTAAGCTCTTGAAGGGTCTAGAGCCTCCATTTTTGCACTCAGGTCAACGTCTCACAGCCCTCTATCAGAATCCTGAGTTTTGAGAAGATTGAAGAAACTTAATTTTTCGCCTGAAAAAAAAAACGAAAGGGGTACCACTGTCGTTTTTTTTTTCGGGTAGAATTTTTGAGTTTCGATATCTCAGCTTTGGAAGGGTCTAGAGCCTCCATTTTTGCACTCAGGTCTAAGTCTCATGGCCCTCTATCAGAATCCAGAGTTTTGAAAAGATTGGAGAAACTTAATTTTTCGCACCAAATCCCCCCCCCCCCCCCCCCCCCCAAAAAAAACGAAAGGGGTACCACTTTTTTTTGGGTACCACTGTCGTTTTTTTGGGGGGGGGTCGAAATTTTTAGTTTCTCTGATCTTCTTGAAACTCTGGATTCAGATAGAGAGCCATGAGACTTAAAACTGAGTGCAAAAATCTCTAGATTCTCTAAGAGTCTCTAGATCCTTCCTGAGCTGAGATATTGAGATCCCACGTAGCATTTATCCCATTATAAAAATAGTGGGTTCGCGGACGGTGGATTTTCGGGACGGCCCTTGGTGCCACAGACTCAGGGGGCCTCCCTGAGTGCAGTAAAATAGTTTTCATCCCAAAATTTTGAAAGCTAAGCTTAAAAACCACGTGTCCACAAACACACTATTTGTCCAATAACCCACTATTTTTATAATGGCTTAAATGCTACGTGGGATCTCAATATCTCGGCTCAGGAAGGGTCTAGAGACTCCATTTTTGCACTCAGGTCTAAGTCCCATGGCCTTCTAACAGAATCCAGAGTTTCAAGAAGATTGGAGAAACTTATTTTTTCACACCAAAAAAAAAAAAAACGACAGGGAATTTTGGGACAGCGCTTGTTGCTCTGGACCCCGGGGGGGCTGCTGATTGCAGTAAAATAGTTTTTATCACGACAGGAACTTCAGTTAAAATTTCTATCAAATATACTACCCGAAACCCCATTCAATAGATTGCAGGCAGGACGGTGTCCAACACAAAAATCGTATGAAACTCATACAGGTTTGGAACAACATGAGGGTGAGTAAGTGATGACAAATATAATTTGTGGTTGAACTATACCTTTAAAGGCATACAGTAGTTCACCCAAAAATTTAAATTAGCCCATGATTTAATCACCCTGGCCTCTAGCCATCCTTGGTGTATATGACATTCTTCTCTCAGGCGAAAACAATCAGAGTTATATTAAACAATGTCCTGGCCCTTCCAACCTTTATATTGGCTGTGGTTGTTTCTGTTTTGAAAGTCCATAAAAGTGCATCTATCCATGATACAAGTGCATCTATCCATCATAAAAGTGCATCTATCCATGATAAAAGTGCATCTATCCATCATAAAAGTGCATCTATCCATAAAAAATATATATTAATATAAAATATTTAAAATATTCATATTTAAGTTGCGCTTTAGATAAGTCAAATCCATATGTTCTTTTCCATGAAGTTATTTTACTTTATAGTTTTAAATATGGATATTATTCTTACATCTCCATCTTCCTCATTACTCCACATAAAGTCAACATCTGAGATGTTTTCATCAGCTATATGTTCAAGCACTTCAGAACTGTATATTCTGCACATAAAAAATTTTCAAACATGTGTCGGTACTGTGATATATATTTTTTTTTTATAAAAGAAATTTCAATCAGCATCACTGAAAATGTGTCTTCAGTAACAGGCTTTCAAACCTACTGTCCATTCTAATGGACAGACATATTTAAAAAAAATCCTGATTCAAAACATGCAATTCTACAGTCGATTTTTAACTTTAATTAATAAGTTCAATCTCTCTATTTTACATACAAACTATGAAATACTGGCAAAAATATATACAAAATGTATATACACCTTAGAAAATGTTGCTTGCTTCTCTGTTTGGAGTGAAGTGCTGCCATGCTTCTCTTCAATGTAGAGGTTTATATATATATATATATATACACACACACACACACACACACACACACACACACACGCTCACCGGCCACTTTATTAGGTACACCTGTCCAACTGCTCGTTAACACTTAATTTCTAAGCAGCCAATCACATGGCGGCAACTCAGTGCATTTAGGCATGTAGACATGGTCAAGACAATCTCCTGCAGTTCAAACCGAGCATCAGTATGGGGAAGAAAGGTGATTTGAGTGACTTTGAACGTGGCATGATTGTTGGTGCCAGAAGGGCTGGTCTGAGTATTTCAGAAACTGCAACGCCACAGCCTACCTGAGTATTGTTGCTGACCATGTCCATCCCTTTATGACCACAATGTACCCAACTTCTGATGGCTACTTTCAGCAGGATAATGCGCCGTGTCATAAAGCTGGAATCATCTCAGACTGGTTTCTTGAACATGACAATGAGTTCACTGTACTCAAATGGCCTCCACAGTCACCAGATCTCAATCCAATAGAGCATCTTTGGGATGTGGTGGAACGGGAGATTCGCATCATGGATGTGCAGCCGACAAATCTGCGGCAACTGTGTGATGCCATCATGTCAATATGGACCAAACTCCCTGAGGAATGCTTCCAGCACCTTGTTGAATCTATGCCACGAAGAATTGATGCAGTTCTGAAGGCAAAAGGGGGTCCAACCCGTTACTAGCATGGGGTACCTAATAAAGTGGCCGGTGAGTGTGTATGTATATATATATATATATATATATATATATATATATATATATATATATATAATTGCTACATGCAGAGCTTTACTGGCATTTGATTGGATGACAAACATCCAATCTCATGGACTGCAGGCTTTAAACTAGGTGAAATGCTCCAGAAGTTAAAAAAGGGGGCTGACATGTGATGTCCATTGTAATGGACACAGGGGTCTGAATGGGTTAATCAGAGTTCAGCAGTTCGTTATATATTTGTTCAAATTAATTTGTCATAATTATAAACACTGTCAAATCGTTAATCAATTTACATGGTTATTCCAAAGTTGCACATTCACAAATAGCTTATGTTTGCATTGAAAAATAAAGTGAACAGTTTATATGCAATATTAAATCCACAGACTCCCATAATTATAATATTTTATTTTGAGATAGAGAAGCAGAAAAAATACATTTCACTTTGATATCATGTCTAATTTACAATAAATAGCACTAATAATCGTTCAATTACAGACACAACTAAAAATTGCCAAATGACTCAAAGGATAACCACTGAAAAATAAATAATATCACAATAAAAGACACATTAAAACATAACCTGTCAAAACCAAGAATATGAAGGAGGAAATAATCCATTTAAAAATGACATGATTATGATGGCTCATGACAGAGATGTGCGTAGGTACTTGAGCTCATACAGAATAGCCAAAGAGCCAATGCTTATGGCTGTTAGTGTTCAGAACAAGTGTACAAGCAACACCAAACGACGGTTCATTATCTATGACGATGTAAACCACTGATCTTCATGCTGGACTGCAGGTTATGTATGGACAGTGTAAGGTCCACAGTGACAAAGGGGGAGACTTCTGGGGTTTCTTGAAGGTTGACTGTCGGTTGCTGGAGCCTTCATCGGTTCTGTAAGTGTGTTTTCAGTTGGTATTCTGCAAAACATGTGCTTTTGTCAAACAAACAATACAATGGCATTTCCTGTGCAATTCTGTTTGTTGCAATCAGGACTTTAAACCTGTGTTCCACAACTAAAATAACTAAAGTACATTTCTAGCAACTACCCAAATAAATACAAGGTATTTAGTTAAACACCCACAGAATCAAACTTCACCTTTCACTCGCACTCTTCACTTGTTGAATAATTGAAAGTGTGCGATGCCTCTAACGTCTGGCCGGTCCTGCAGTCATGCACAGGGAGTCCTGTTCTTCAACCTCCAGCTCCTCTGACCGCACAGCCTGCGTGATCAGATTCAGCTCCTCGCACAGAGTCTCGAAGCGGTACGCCACACGGATGTCTGGAACATTGGTGCGTCTGATGTCGTTGCCCTCCTGCCCCTCTTTCAGATAATGTGGCCCCAGCCAGTAGCTTTTCACCTTGACACAGGATATTTGGGTACATTAGTCAGATGCTTTTTACATCAAGTTAAGTCTCTTATAGTCACAAAGGCTGCATTTATTTGATCAGAAATACAGTACGGTTATATTCTGAAACATTACAATGTAAAATTACTGTTTTATCTTTTGATATATTTTAAAATGTCATTTCTTACTGTGATGACAAAGCTGAATTTTCCCCAACATTACTTCAGTCTTCAGTATCACATGAGCCTTCAAACATCATTCTAATATGCTGATTTGGTGCTCAAGAAGAATTTCTTATTACCAATGTTGAAAACATTGTGTTGCTTAATATTTTTATGGAAACCATAATACATTTTTTATAGGATTTTTTAATGAATAGAAAGATTGAAAGAACAGCATTTGAAATATAAATATCTTTGTCACTTTTGATCAATCTAATGCATTCTTGCTTATTAACTCCTGGTTTCACAGACAAGGCTTAAGACTATTCTCAGACTTAAGTGCATGTATGAGAAGTTTTAATTGAAAGTTACTTGCACTGAGATATCAGACATGTCAGTGCCATTGTTTCGTCTCAAGATGCACACTAGTAATGTTTTTTTCTAAGGCACTTAGCTAAGCTAATTAAATGTCGACTTGATACTTTTAGGCCTGTTTTCACAGATAGGGCTTAGATGAATTTAAAAAAATATATTATTAACCCCAAACTTTTGTGTATGCAGGTAATTATCTAGATTAATATACAATTTTACAGCATGTTTTGTTGCTGTTGCTGACAGAGGTGTAAGTGGAGATGTGATCACCTGGTGAGAAAATCCGCTCATAAGCACACTGTTTCGGGCCAGTTCACACATGTCACATGAGCTCAGCTTCCACACCTGAGCAGCGATGCTGTACTCCTCCATCAGCGGCTCCTGAACAACCACACACACTAGGTCAAGCATACTATAGACCTGACTCAAGAAAGAACAGGTATTGGTTATAAAAAAAATATATCATATTTGATTGTATGGTGTGGCTTGCAACCTTTGTAAAGTGGAACTGCAGGGGGTCATCAGTGGACAAAGACACCATGAGGCCTCTGGACAGGTACTCAGGGAGAGGATTTCGATGGTAACTGAGGAAGAGGCTGTTATTGCTGAGCGGGGACATGGCAATGCCGATCTGAGCCAGGTAATACAGATACTGCAGTACAGGAGCCTGACAGAAATACACAAACACTGATAAATTCTTGACTGTTTGCAAGGGTTTTTAAGCTAAGAATATTAAACACAGAAATTTTTATAACGCGACCGATATTGTTCTGAATATTTAAAATAAGAACATTCTTTATATCCGAGCAGAACAGATTTCCAAGTACAACTGTGATTCAGTAGAAGTGTCTTTACTTTTCTCAAAAGTAGGCCATGGGAAATATTCTCCGAGAGCATAAATCCAGACACGAGGTGGTGGATAGGCCCTGCCTCTCCACAGTGCGGACGTAATACAAACGAATTCATGTTCCTTTGCCTGTTAGGAGAGATGAGTGACATTTAAACAGTCGTGGAGCTAAAACAACTTATATATTAAGCAGCCTACACAATGGTTTTGACGATAAGGTTTTCATTAAGTGGTTTGCATGCCATCAATCTCTACAGTCAATTTCTACATTAATTAATTAAATGTATTGTGGTAAGCAAAAGAAGTACTTGGATGCATAGATACCTGCGCAGGTGGTTGAGTACAGTCATATTTGCATACATGTAGTACAGGTAATACGAGTATGGAGGATTGTCTTCCTCCGTCCAGTTCACAGGTTTTGGGCTGTCCAGGTTAAAGATGTGATGCTCAGGTTTGGACTCATCATCCACACTATCAAACCCGACAACCTGAAGAACATTCAGTCTCACAATATAATAAAACTGTGACCATACTTGTTAATCATTTGGTTGTATTAATTTGAAGTTACACAGGGTGGTGTTACATTTGAGTTTACACGTTCTTATCTGAAGCATCTAGCAATAGTCTTATTATAGGGTCAATAATACATTTTTTAGCCAATGGTTTAAAACTTTGGATTACTAGGTCACATACAGTATTTCTCTACTCTGGAAAAGTTAGTAAGTGTAAAATCTAAAACAAATGGGGCCGTGGGAACTAGGGGTGCTGAGGGTGCTGCAGCACCCCCTGGCGACAGCTGTTTCACTACATTGAAATTAAATATGACGTGACTTTAAATAACTTTGTTTTTCAACATGTTTTTTAAGAACACCTTCTACCTTTATAAAACGACTCTAACGATTATTTCATTTCCATATGTTGTCGAAGAGTTGTATAGAAATTAATATAGGCTGCCTATCATAAGGCAAAAGTCGATCTCGCATAGAGTGAGTGACATGACACTGGTTGAGGTCCAGCATCTCAAAATTGATTTGACACTCATTTTATGCATGTGAAAAAACGAAATACAGATGTCTTGATTAAAGCATTCTTTGGCATTAAGGGCTGTTCACAAAGAACGAGTTTTTCCATTACCCTCTGCCAGGCAGGTGCAGAGGGGGGGGGGGGGGGGGGGGGGCGTTGGGTGCTCGAGCACCTGCCCTTTTGCCCCTTGGTGCCCAAAGTGCCCTTTTGTCAAGACAAAATTTCCTCTCCTTTTTTGTATTAAAGGCACTTTTGTGGATGCCTGCCCCATCTAACTAGTAGTAAAATGAATGAATAATAATTTAGCCGTAAATAAAATGACCCACATGATGACCTTTCACCTGATTCCTCACGCTGCACGCGCATTTTATAATTTCGCGCGGCTACGCGCAATCGCGCATTCCCAGAGGATATCTTCAACTCCTGCGGCTGCTGGTAAGTGGTGTTCTATTCTCAGCGAAGTGATTTTGATGTTTGTTTACTTATTATTATTATTTTACTAGAACGACGTGAAGAGAGCATGCAGAGAGATGTTGTTTGTATTGCTGTGTGTAGGCTGTAGAAGTAACGTTAGCTTGCTGTTTGAGGGAGAAAAGTTTCACGGGCGTGGAGGGGTGTTATTTGACTAAAAACTATTATTTTTACTTTAAACTATTATTATTATTACAGTATTTATTAAAAAAAATATTTTCATATAAAAATGATTATCACAACTCTGGTAAGTTATCACATAGGCATACCAGTTAGTATCTTATGTTTTGTGTGCAGAAGCCTCTGTGAACATCTGCCCTAGTAACGTTACTATTATATACTATTATTGTATTATATACTTTAGCAGCCTGGGTAGAATCTGTAGCTTTAGCAGGTCAGTGAACTAGTGAGCCAGTTCCAAACACTGTCAGCAATCTTTACATCTTGACATGGTCACATAAAAATGGTTTATTCAGCTAATACCCTATATTTCTGTTTATTTTAATGTCTACAGTCTCAGATCAACTCCAGCAGTATCAGCAGCAGCAGTAACAACATCAACAGCAAAGGCAGCAAACTCACTTAAGGACTTAAGTAAGAATTTACCAGAACAGGCATCACATTAATGTTAAAAATCTTGTAAAGTATTAATTGCTGTTTCTGTTTGCTTTGTTTTTTATTTTCATTGTATAAAATGTAACTCTTGTATTTTTGTAAATCAGTTTTTGCCATGAAAATAGCCACAGATGCTAAAATGCCATTAAATAAAACTATACTGTACTGCACGAAACATGGGCCACGTTAATTTTGTCCTACACAGTTCACTATAACAGCTGTTCTTTATTATTCTGTATAACAGAGAAGAAAAAGCCATCAGGTTGGAACAACTTAAGATGCTTCAGTTTCTAATCCCAGAGTTATATATAGAGCACATCAATTATTTTTTTAATTTTAAACTTTAAATTTGTCTTTTCTGTTCTGGTTCTTTTTTTCAAAACTGCATCAATGCATTTGCTGCTGTATCGATGCAGAATCATCTGTATTGATATATTACTGTATTGATATTTTGAGCACAGCCCTATAAAGCCTTGTTTCCATGTGCCCCATTTTATACTTTGAGCACCTGCCCCTACAGAGGTCTCTGCACGGCCCTGCCCTCTGCTACTGTTCCAAATGCTTTTCACTGTGAAGGCGCACGCAACTGTTGCGCTCGCGTCTCGCGAATGAAACCTCATTCTCAAAACGCGGCACTCAAGTTAAAATAAGTTCAACAAAAATGCACCTCGAGACCTTGCATTCCCCCAAATTCGCCTGTATGTGGTGTAATGGTAGTTAATGTAATGGTCAAGTCAAGTGGAAGAACATTAGACAAACGTGCAAGAGTTTCTGAGTTCTATCCACACTCGCATAGTTTTTTTTCCCCCCTCATTAAAACCGATTATGTTTATCAGTTGTTGTCAAGCAGGGACATGACAAAATGTTTGAATGCATTTTACTTTGTGGTTTCACCGGTACGAATAGAGATTTCTCCGCAACTGATCAAGCTCGTGTCCGTGTGAAGATGTTCCTTGTGGCAGCGCGAGCCACAAGAGAACACTATCAGCACAGCACTGAGTCAACGAGTAGCCTACTATGATCACTTGATTTTAAAAAATAACACATTTCAGCGTGCTATTTCTCCTCTTATTTAACAAATGAATGTTCTGCTAGACTAGTTAACCGGATTTGTTTTATTTATTTGTATTGGTACATCCACGCTGCGAGATGTTTAAAAGTGCTGGGGACAATATCGACCCTGGCAAAAAGTGGTGGAGAAATTCCCAAATATTAATTATTAATAATTATGATAGTAGTAAAAGGTGTTTCTGGTTTGTTTGTTTTTTTGCGTCAAAATATTTCTCAAACGGCAGTGCAAACCCCCTGATGACCCGATGCCCCTCCAGTAGATCTGCTCTGGCGCCGACTCTGTCAAGCCACGCCCATTAAGCCCCGTCCCCAGCACCCCCATGATAAAATATGTTCCCACGGCCATGAATGTTTATTGTAAATAAATTGGGTTAATCACACCTTGTATATTTACACACACAAAAGATGTGTGCGCTATGTAAACCTCCACTCCACAGTAGCACAGTTACCTATAATTTTACATTAAAACTAGCTTCATCACATGAAAAAAAGGTTCACTCACATGTTGCAGGAAGAGATGCAGCTGTGGGTGACTGCTGGGATTGACAGTGGCTTCAAACAGAGGCATGAAAATGTTCTCTAGCATCTCTTGGAAGTTAGAGAGCTGCTTCTTGGTGTGGTACACATCACTGGCGATGAAATAAACCACATGTTATCTTAGTTATGCTTGTATTTTATTCTGAAATGTATATTTCAAATACAGTAAAAATATTGGTATTCATTTTGGAAATAAGTCCACTTAATTAGATAGTAAATAATTTTAAGTGCTTTTCAAATTAGTAATAATATACACTACCGTTCAAAATTTTGGGTTTATTACTATTATTCCTTTTATTTTTTTAAAGTCTTTTTTATTCAGCAAGGACACTTTAAATTGATCTAAAGTGGCATTAAAGCCCTTTCCATTGTTATAAAGGATTTCTATTTTAAATAAATACTGTTCTTTTGAACTTTTTATTCATCCAAAGATTTCAGAAAAAATCTATCACAGTCCCCAAAAAAATATTAGTGAAAATAATAAGAAATGTTTCTTGAGCATCGAATCGGCATATTAGATTTATTTCTGAAGGATCATGTGACACTGAAGGCTAAAGTAATTAAAATTTAGCTTTACCATTATAGGAATAAATTACATTTTAAAATATAAAACAGTTATGTTAAAAATATTAATATTACTGTTGTACTGTGTTTCTGAATAAATAAATGCAGCCCTGGTGAGCTTAAGAAATTTATTTTAAATCTTACTGATCCAAAACTTTTAAACAGTAGTATACATTTTTTTTAATTTGATAAAAAAAATATTAGGCCAACAGTAGATGTCCACTTTACGCTCAGTACTCACAATAGCCGTGGCACCTGCACCAGCCAGCGCACATTCTCAGAATAAACCTTGTGCTTGACGGCCCACTGAGCCAGCTTATCCCATTCATCTCGTGAGCGGCCGTAGATGGAGAGACGCAGCTCCACATTCTGGTATTTGCTCTCCTCCAGGTCTGCCATCACCTCCTGAAACGCACCAACATACAACTATCAGCAGGGGGCGCACTGAACCATATGAAACTCAATTCATCAACATGCTTGTTTTGCAAATGTCAAAGATTATAAGGAACAGTGATACCTTGATTATGTGGCCAAAGTATTTCCCCTCAATATGGTTGTCAGTCTTAATAAAGATTTCTCGGAGGATGGACTCTCCAATGGGGTTGTATTTGGAATTGAATTTATCAAAGCGATGGAATGTGTTGCGGTCCTGTGGGAAAGACAGAATTTTTTTAATATTTAAAGTAGCAAATTTTCTTTTTTATTATTTATATTTACATTCAATCATTTCCCAAGTGTAGCCTACTTATTCCCACATACAATTTAGACAAGAATCTCTTTTATTAAATTAGATTTTCATATACATGGAACATTCATTTAGTGCCACAGTTAGCATTCAGTAGAGAACAACAGTTCATTCATCAGCTTATTCAGTTCTTACCTAAGTGGAAGTCCACTTAGCTTGTGCAACTGCAACTATGTGCAACATATTTTTAGTGAGAGTGACCTAGATCCCACACAAACCCAAGAAGTTTAGAACACCCAATTGATATTTGCCTTGGCATATATACCGTGTGAAACACTTTTCTTTTTCTTTTGTGGTCCAATATTTTATTCCAGTTTTCTGTCCTTTTATGTTTATAATTTTGTTAATAGTCACTTTATCATTTATATATCATAAGATATAACACATCAAATATTTCCCTTGAAACGTTTGTGGTCAGTAATTTTTAAATAAATTAATACTTTATTTCAATAAATTAATTGGATCAAAAGGACGGTAAAGACATTTATAATGCTATAAAAGATCTCTATTTCAAATAAATGCTGCTCTTTTGAAATTTCCTTTTCTTTTTGAGTTGTTTTTTTTTTTTTTTTACAATGGTTTCCACAAAAATATTAAGCATCACAACTGTTTTCAATATTGATAATAATAAGAAATGTTTCTTGACCGTCAAATCAGCATATTCAAATTATTTCTAAAGGAATATTTGACACAGAAAATTCAGCTTTACCATAACAGGAATGAATAGAAACAGTTATTTAAAAAAATATATATTAAAAATTAAAATTAAAAAAAATATTTCACAATATATATATATATATATTTTTTTTTTTTTTTTTGCTGTAGTTTTGATATATAACTGCAGCCTTGGTAAGCAGAAGAGACTTCTTTCAAACACATTTAAAAAAATCTAACTGGCCCTAATGTTTTTTTTAACAGTAGTGTACAGTATATGTTGTTATTATTATTATTATTATTGTTATTAGTAAGTATTCTTATGTGTAATTGCTAGTGAATTTTAGTGAATTGTTAGTGAATTTTTCCAAACACAAAAACAAAACGCACATCACAGGCAAAGTTTTGCTTAACCAAAAAAAAAAGCCTGTGTGTTTGAAACGTTACCTTTATAAGAATCTTTCAATAATTGTCTAGTTTTTGGAGCTGTGGTGTGCCGACTTTATCTGTATTATCTGAAGTATTTTCCCAACCACTTAGGTCACATGTTTAACTACACTTCTTACCGCGTGCATATCCAGAGTGTCTACGCTGAGGTCAAAGGCCGTCAGGTTCATGCTCTCAAACACCTCTGTTAGGGTCTGTCCTCTGCCTTGTTCTACATGGACGATTTCACCTGGATATTTCTTTATGGCTCTTTTAATGAAGCGCAGCAGGTGCTTCTGATTCATACAGGATGAGGCATGGATGTGTGTGTCCACCTGAAGAAATCAAAGGTCAATAGATAAATATTTCCTGTGACACAACAGTTTAGTTTAAAATACTTTATTTAGTGTTTGTTCATACAAACCTTCCTGATGTTGTAGAAATCACGGTGAGGGACCTTCTTCTGTGCCGCCAACTCTTTCATCTCGTTTAAGAGAATGTGCATCTGGAACTTGGAGCTGAGGTACTGCAGTCGGCGATAGCAGAAAGATTTCCTGTTGGGAAAAAATATACAATTAAAAATCCATATGTTAAACCTACAACAGATCAGACCAGTTCTGGCAATTTTGGGGAACATATTTAACCAGTTTTTGCCACTTCTTCCCCTTAGTCGCATTATTCACATTACAAATTAATTACTGGACTTGTCTCTTTTATTTTTACATTTCATCCACAGGTTCAAACTGAGGTCAGTGCATAATGATTTTTAATCAAGCAAAACCGCTCACTCAGGGACCAGCTCACATTTACAGAATAAGCCATTTCAATCAGTGATTTGATCATCTTCTTCTGGATCTGCTGCATCAGACTGGACTAAACCTCATGGTGTGCAGTATAACTTACACTGGCCCATTAATGATGAGCGCCATCATCATGTTCATATCCGCGATGTATTCCTGCAGGTCTGGGTGTGGCAGATCCAGCTCTGAGGAACTGATAGACAAAAAAAAAACATTTTAAAAAGAAAATTGATAAGATAAATATATATCAAAACCAACAATTAGGCCAACTCAATTCTAGGGACTTGACACTCTGTCATCTTACTTATGCGTGTAAACATGAACAACACCATCAACCATCTTGCAGGTGTAGCCCAACCCAGGGGGCATGTTGGCAGGGTCAAACCCCTCATAGGGGTGGGTTTCTGACACAGGTGGGTGGACTGTTGCACCTGTGAGTTAAGAAGATGGACTAATTATTTTGTAACTGTATACTGATCATACAGAACTCTTAAACTCTTTTAACTATGAAACATATATATTGGAACTAAAGTCAAGGAAACAGTTAAAAAAATTAATTTGCTCAAAAATCAAAATTGCCGTCATGTCTTTATAAACCAATGAACACAAAAGTGAATTTTTGAAGAATATAAAGCACTGGCCACTTCTCTCAATATAATGAAAGTGAATGAAGACTGAGGCTGTCAAAATGCTTAATCTCAACATTTTGCATAAAAACATAATTTCACTATATAAAAATATAATTTCACTCTGTTCCATTTTATGGCTTCAGAATATAACATTGGAGTTGTACGTATGAATGACTTTTATTTTGCTTTTTCATTGTGGTGGTAATGATGAATATTTTCATTTTTGTGTGAACTACTGCTTTAATGAGTAGAAATACATCTGTGCTGTGGTTTAACTGATCATGTGTGGTTCATAAACATGCTGCACCAGAACACCTGTTTTCAGTTCTTTCTGTAGTAACTGAAGACAATTTCAGGAAAACATAATTTTTTTTTCTCTGTACATTGGACATAAAAACCAATTTGGCTATAAAATTCTGATTTCTCCTGAACATGAACACACTTGCAGATACAGAAGACTCAGGCATCTCCTCAAAGGTGTTGAGATCCAGGTGTCGGTCACCCAGCTCCTCCTGCAAGTAACGTACTGTGGTCCTGCAGAAGCTCTGCATGGACAGAGAGATATACTTCTCTCTTATGAAGAGAGCTTTGACCACACATTTAGCAGCATCCAGCAGATCAGTAAAAGGAACCTGGGAGGTGAAAAAAGAAGACTCACTTAAACAGTCCATCCATCCACTCATTCATCAGAGATGCAGATTTTTCAGTGATCACTTCTTCATGTTACATTGTTAAGGCAGTAGATGGTGACAAACGATTCTTCAATTCATTGAAAAAGGATTCATTCAATTCATTCATCTTCAATTCATTCAATTAAAAAAAAAAATAGTGAATCACTGAATTATTCAATCAATTTGTTCAAAAGTAATGATTTAACCGGAAACAAAACGACCTCATTCCTCAGAAACTCAACGATGCTTTAAATGCTCAGCGATATGCTTTGACTTAATTTGAAACTATTTTCTTGTGCATTAATTTAATTATTGAACTCATTCAAAATCAATATCATTTTTGTAATCATGCCGTTGTTATGAATCAATAATAAATTATGTTTTTGATCACCAAAATCTACAGTTCTACAATATGTGATAGACACCATGTACCATTTAATTGTACTTCGATCCACAAAATAAAAAAAACAGTATTTTGGTGACAAAATATATAAAAGCTGTTCTCTCTCTCTCTCTCTCTCTCTCTTTCTCTCTTTCTCTCCCTATATATATATATATACACATACAGTGTAAAAGCTCATGTTTCCCTCTGGGGGTTGTGTAATGTGCATTGTGTGTGAGCGTGTGTGTGGAACTTGGTTCTCCCTCAGGAATTTATATAATGTCTGCAGGGTCCACTTCAGTTATGTCAACAACATCTTGTTTTTGTAAAACAAACAAAACAGAAAAATGAAAAACAGGAGCTGTTCCTACCCCACATTTCTCCTCTCCAGAGATCGCGACTCTCTGATACTCTCTCTCAGGGACGAGCTCTCTCTCGGGATATAGTTCTTTGGGCGCCTGGCTCTGTTCTTTCATATACCTGAGGAAGAGAGGAGATGCCAGTATAAGTTAACAAACACTAGGTCTCATGTGAAATAATCACATAACATCTGAAAAAGCCCTCACTCCAGATCAGCTGCACTGTCTGTTTTCATGAAGTCCTGTTTGGCTCGCAGTAGGATATCAGGCTCAAACCTCAAGAGAAAAGACTTTTAATTAACTGACTGTGGGTCAATGGTCACATCTGCATACAGAGGAGTGAATGTTGGACTAAAATTTGCCTAAGGAAATGGTGTCATTTTAAGTTACAAACACAGATAAGTTCAATGTTAAGGATTTTGTATTGTTTTTACATTAAGAAAAGTGTTTGATGAAAACTACAGATGCGATTTATTAATGGTTGAGTTTGAGGATGAATGATGGGATGTAGTACTTGATATCCTGGCTGATTTGCCGCTCGAGTCGGTGCCGCCTCTCCTCCAGCTGCTCAATGGGGCTCTCCTCAGGGAACTCATATGGAGCGCTCCGCATGTCACTCTCAGCCAGGCTGCGGGAGAACAGCTCCTAAACTCACACATTAAGCACACATTTACATAACAGCAGAAACAAAAAAAATGCATTCAATCAGCATGATCGTTGGCATTTCTGCTCTGTTTACCTCTGCAATCTCTTTGTATTTGCCATCCATGGATGTGCGCAGATCAATGTGGCCGTGCTTGGCTACAGGGTTGCCAGGCAAGGAATGCTGGGATGTGAGGTGGTGTCGGCCAACACGGAGATCTACTAGGAAGATAATGAGAAAGAGATTTTTACATTTCAACAGATATGGCTTGATTCGACTTTCTTAAAACATTTCGATTTTGCAGATGTGATTATGGAGATAAATGTTTAACAATAAATACAATATAGTGTGATCAATACTATTTAGCCTTGTTTTTCTACTTTTTCTGAAAGCTGTCAGAATCTACAACTGTGTCTTACAAAATTATTGAGCATTCAGGTGGGAGGACATGAGTTTGTATGCGAGTATGTGCTGGCCTTGGTATGCAAAGTTAACTTGTGGGCAAGTATAGATAGACCTAATGCTTCTAGTGCCCACACAAATTTTAGTACAGCCACATTGACAATCTGTAAACACAACACCAAAAACCTTTAAAACAAGATCAATTTACTTGAAGCAACATATAAGATATTAATTATTAGATATTAATACCCTATTATTTCATAAAAAATGTTTGGGGTTGAAGTACTTTTAAACGGTTTTGAAAGACTCAGCAAGTCCACATTTATTTGATAAACATAATCCAGCAAAAACAGCAAAAATGTGAAATATTATTACAACTTGATTACAGTTTTCAATTTTAATTTATTTTAAAATAATAATTTATGCCACAATAATTTAAGCTTTTTTTTTTTCCTGTGATGTAAAGCTGAAGTTTCAGAATCATTACTTTAGTCTTCAGTGTCACATGATCATTTAGAATTCATTCTAATATGCTGATTTTTTGCTCCAGAAACATTTATTATTATCATCCTTGTTAAAAATCAGTTGTGCAGCTTAAATCTTTTGTGGAAACCATAATACATTTCCTTTTAGTATTATTTGATGTTTAGATGTTCAAATGAACAACATTTATTTAAAAAAAAAAAAAAAAATATATATATATATATATATATATATATATATATATATATATATATATACAGTGCCCTCCACAATTATTGGCACCCCTGTTTAAGATGTGGTCGAGGACTTTTAAAAATTCTCCCTTTTTTTTAAACAACATAGAATCCAAATGCAAAAAAAAGAGAAAAATCCAACCTTTTATTTAAGTACATTACTTTGGTGGTAAAAAATTTTTTTAAAATTTAAAAAAATAAAAACTTCAAATCATGTGTCCCACAATTATTGGCACCCCTGATGTTAATACTTTGTACAACCCCCTTTTGCCAACAAGACAGCACTTAATCTCCTCCTATAACATTTCACAAGATTGAAGAACACAGAGAGAGGGATCTTTGACCATTCTTCTTTGCAAAATCTTTCTAGATCATCCAGTATCCTGGGCCCTCTCTTGTGCACTCTCCTCTTTAGCTCACCCCACAGGTTTTCGATTGGATTGAGGTCTGGGGACTGAGATGGCCATGGGAGGACCTTGAGTTTGTGACTGAACCATTTTTGTGTAGATTTTGCCACACGTTTTGGATCATTATCCTGCTGAAAGACCCAATGACGACCCATCTTCAGCATTCTGGCAGAGGCCATCAGGTTTTTATTTAAAATGTCCTGGTAGTTCAAAGCGTTCATAATGCCATGCACCCTAACAAGGTTCCCAGGGCCTTTGGAAGAGAAACAGGCCCACAGCATCACAGATCCTCCACCATACTTCACGGTGGGCATGAGGTACTTTTCGGCATACACATCTTTTGTTTTACACCAGATCCACTTAGAGTGTTTGTTGCCAAAAAGCTCAATCTTAGTCTCATCCGACCAAAGCACACGATCCCAGATGAAGTCCCAGTGCCGCTTGGCAAACTCCAGACGTTTACGTTTGTCAGTGTTAGTGAGAAAAGGCTTTTTCCTAGCATGCCTCCCAAACATCTTGTTGGCATGTAGAGAGCGTCTGATGGTTGTTTTGGAGATTTTGTGACCCCAAGATGCCACTATTTGATGCAATTCTGTGACAGTGAGCTTAGGACTTTTTTTTACTTTTCTTAGCATCCTCCTCACAGTGCGTTGTGGCAAGATAAACTTGGGACCTCTTTCAGCCTTGTTTGTCACTGTTCCTGTTGTTTTAAACTTCTTAATGATTCCTCTAACTTTAGATATGGGCAATATAAGGTGAGTGGCTATTTTCTTGTAGCCATTGCCTGACTTATAAAGGTCATCACACATCTGCCTTACTTGAATGGTGTGTTCTCTTGTCTTTGCCATGTTGACAAATGGGTAAGAGAATTAGGCCTCTGTGTCATGTCATATTTATACCCCAGGGAAATAGGAAGTCATGAATTACTAATTAAAAGTTCCTAGATATCCTGACCAACATTAGCAACTGCAGAAAATATATATTTTTTTTAAAAATCAATTACATTTTTCAGCGGAATTGTTAGGGGTGCCAATAATTGTGGGACACAGGATTTGAAGTTTTTATTTTTCTAAATTTTTACATTTTTTTTTACCACCAAAGTAATGTACTTGAATAAAAGGTTGGATTTTTCTCTTTTTTTGCATTTGGGTTCTATGTTGTTTAAAAAAAAGGGAGAATTTTTAAAAGTCCTCAACCACATCTTAAACAGGGGTGCCAATAATTGTGGAGGGCACTGTATATATATATATGAAGAGTTCAGATGCAAAAGCCTCTAAGTGCCATTTGAAATTTTCTTCTAAAATGATCATTTTTATCAAGCTTGTATATTTAAGTTCAGTAATTTCACTTAAATGGCAATGAAGATTACCTATTAATTGTTATTTAAGTGAAATTACTGAACTTAAATATACAAGCTTGATAAAAAATGACCATTCTAGAAGAAAATTTCAAATGTCATTTAGAGGCTTTTGCATCTGAACTCTTCATATATATATATATATATATATATATATATATATATATATATATTCAATGTAAAAGTCATTTATGATCAATTTAATCTTGCAATCTTACTGACTCCTGTGAAATGCAAGCCAGAAGCCAGAAGTATAACAAAGTAAGATTTTCCATTCCTATTTCAAGTGATTAATTATCAGAAACATTTTAATATCACAATAATATTTTCCTCACAAACACTTTCACTTTCAAAGTGAGTGAAGCTCGACCCTTCTGCTCGAGTTCCATAGTTCCATCCCGTGAGTGATATCAATCTTCCTAAACTCAAATGCTTGATCAAATATTCATAAGCCTGATGAATAATTAAGCAGCACTTTCTATAGCCACTGCACTGCTGAGATCTGGACATCTCATCTCACTATTAAAGTACAGAGGAAACAGACTAAATAAAAACAGATTCCTCTGTTACAGCTATCAACAGAATTCATAAACGTCCTGCAGATTTGAAAATGTAGCAAATCTCAAAAATAGTTTGCAAAGCCATCAGTTACAGTTGAGCCAACTAGCCTGAGGGCTACAGTATATCTGCAGTAGTTACAATACACATAACAGCTGTTTCCTGAGATCATGTGATGAATTCAGCATTAGTCTATTGACACATTCGTCACCGTTTTAGTAAGTGCTGAATCTTCCCACTTACAATTTGAGATAAACCAACACTATCTCACGACCAATTCGTACGAATTTGACGCATGATTAAAAAGTGTCTAATTCGTACTAATTCGTACGACCTCACTCGTACTAATTCCTACGATTTGTCTAAACCCACGTGATGGTTAGGTTTAGGGGCGGGGTCAGGGGTAGGTCATTTGTACGAATTCATACGAATTGGCCAATTCGTAAAATATGTACAATTTAGCAAAATCGTATTAATTCGTACGTGTGAGGTCGTATGAATTGTTACGAATTAGCCACTTTTTAATCATTCGTCGAATTCGTACGACTTGGTCATGAGATCGGGTTGGATAAACCCATTACTATGGGAAGCTACACTTAACTTGAGACTTTTTGCACTTTCATCAGCAGCACCATTTACTCTGGTAGTTTAAAACCCTTGCTGTATATTCTTAATCTGCATACAGTACAGTATGTGCTTGTTAATCACTGTTATTTTAATCTTCATTTTAATCATATAGTTTTACAGTTCCACTCCTGAACTGAATTGACCATATACAGTTATTAAACCGGGGGGAGCCCAGTGTACCCACGGGCAGCTGCCCCATCGAGGAGAGCAGACACGGGAAGACATGGGAGTCTTCCTGGACTTCGAGATCTTATCATGTACATCCGGGAAGAAAGATATTGGGGTTGGATGCAAGTCAGCAGCTGCACCCTAAAAAAACAATCATCCAGTAACTCAATCACCCATAAACTTGGCTCCGAAGCAAAAACATATCTGCATTCTGCCGGCGTCCTCCTTTCATAGGTCGCGGAATATGCCGGCGTCCTCCTTTGGAGCTGCATACAAATTCCGCAGACAGGCTCGTTTTGAAATACTCGAAGTGGATAGGCTTTCCAAGCGAAACCCCATTCGTAAATAATTGAAAGTTTGGTATCACCGGGTGTGCCCATAGCTGCCGAAATTGAGTCATGTTATACTAACCCACATTCTATTAGTTTACATAACGCTTTAGGGCTCTGCTGCTTATTGTTTTACTGTTCTGGCAGTGCAACGTATTTATCAGGGAGTTTATTGGAGGTAATTAACAACAGGATTGTCAATGAGAGGAAATCATTGCTGAAATCTTAGTGGCCTTTGCACAGGCCCAGATGGGTGGACTAATTATGACCATGACAGTTCATTATCGCCCAACACAGACACAGCGGGAGATCAACGCAGTGCACTACCTCATGCACTCACACTTACGATCACGTTCTCCTTTTTTCACACATACCATTTACCTTCACATAAATCACAGCCAACACATTTCTCACTTAGCTGCAAGCTAACAAAGCACGTTGTAAAAGAGATTTTGTATGATTTTTGACGTGCGTGTCTGTACAGAACAGCGCAAAGCCAGAAGGGAGACTGATGTATCCACTGGCTTGTATATAATCTCATGGGTGTATTTTGGGAGTTTCATGCTTGTTACATAATCACCATCCCCTTTATACACAGGATCCCCACATACAGTAAATGCAACGGCAAAGCAGAAGAACACTCAAAACTGGGTTGAG